ATAACTTCCATCCAGCCTGCAGCCTACATATCTCCCTTCATTCCCATTTAATACAGGTATAAATGGGATGCTCCTGGAAGATATGTGTGGGTCACCTTACACAGAGGGATCAGCACAGTTGTAGCAGTCCCAGCAACTGCTCTTGCCTCACTATTGGGTGGCAGCTCCAGCATCCCAGATGGAGCCAACTGGTCCTGCATCTATTTGAACAGCTACAGTATTGAACAACAAAAAGCAGACTAAAGATTGCATATTTTTACATATCTGCATAGAAGCTAAAGTTATTGTCATGAACCACCCTTAAAGTAGCTCCTGAGGAAGAGGACTGCATATTAACTCATTTCTCCCTAAATGGAGGACAGGTTTAAAAGCAATCTCATTGACTTTGAAATGCTGACCCCAGGTATTTGTTACTCAGATATATACAGAGAAATCCAGCCTCTCAAAATGAACCTGACAGCAGTCCTCTTCTTCAAAAGAGACAGTGCCCATCTTTCTGTTCAGCAGATATGGAGGTGGATCAAAGGTTATCTGGTTTCCCATTCCAAATCTTTCATTAGCCTCCCAATTAATTCTTTGCAAATCATACCGCCCCCTCCATGTCTCAATTTTTTTCCACCAGCAAAATGTAAATCTCAGCATACCCTTTTCCCATGAAAGATTTTGAAAGCCATAGCTTTCAGCTAAAAAGCTGTAGAAATTTCTTATCTGCATACAATAAAATGAGAGATTAAAAAATAAAGGGGATGCTTCAATTAAAAGAAGGGCTCTGACTAAAGAGGAGGGAAAGTGATTTTGAGAAAGATGTATTGTGGAGCATGAGAGGTAGGCAGCAAGCAAGACCTAATCAGAGGGCGGATGGCAGAAAGAGGGAAAAAAAACTTTTTTGATTTAAACTTTCAGCATTCTCTCCCTTTCAGATCTCAAATTATTAGTGATCCCAGTTACAGGAGCAAAGGGAGAGGTGAACTGCCAAAGCTAAAGAGATATTGCATCGGTACAAACTACAGAACCATTTGAGCATTGCACTCCTATGTCTGTGCTCTAGCACAGCACAGAGGAAAACAACCAACAAAGAAATTCACAACCAATCCTGTCTCACATATCTTGGTGTCAATAGACTGTATGTCAATAGCAAGGGCTTGTACTCACTCTTCTCTGTACATTTGTCTGATACACATTGCTTATGCTAGTTTAACTCTAAGAGTAATGCCATGCAGCCAGGTCCTTTCCCAAAGCCCCCAGGAATCTGAAGTAGTTTATTGCCTTTATACTGCACTGCTGCACAAGCAGTATCATACCTCCCTCTGAAAAGCATTACCCCATCATGATGAAGTACTGGCTGCTGGTTGTTGTCAGCCTGTGTTGTATCTTGCTTTTTGTCACGGAGAGTGCAGAAACATGGTCTTTTCTCTTTTATTCCCCAGTTTTGCTCTAAGCACTATGAGAAGAGATATTAAGCAGTTTTCACTGGTTTCCTCACTCCTGCCCACAAGGCTGATTCCTTATCCCTCCTGTGTCGATCAAAACAGCACAGCAAAGCCAGCAAAGCAGTGCAACTGTGTTGTGCAGCACAGTACCAGCCCCAAGGCATACAGCAGCATTGTGCTTGCTCAGCACATTTCTCTGTGTTGACACATCAGCAGGAAAACACAGCTTTGTGTCCATCTACGCTCTAAATATGAACAGTTAATAACCATCCACATTTCTCTCAAAATATTTGGAAACGGATAGCAAAGAATCAGATATGGTTTCATCAGTGCACAATACATCACATTCACATCCTTCACTTCAAATAATATCAGTGGAACAAAAAAAAATCAAGAGGTATCTAAGGTATCTTGCCACCATAAAAAGTGATACCAGGAACTTCTAGACCAGACAGAAGCCTAATGAAACTAAATAACTAAAATAAGCTGAAATCTATTTTCTAGGCATGCCATTACACACACACACACACAAAAATCTTGTCCAAATTCAAGTATAAATAGACAAAATAGCAATTATAGATTTATGTGCCTACATTATTTGCTGCAATAACATTAAATTGCTGCGATAATGTTTAATGCCATTTACAGACACTTTGACACTTAAAAAAAAACAAAAAAACACTTAGAGACAAGATGATCTTCTCTATCAAGATTTCCTATCAGGGTTTGCCTTTTCATCACTTCTAAATAGTTTGTAGAAACACTTATCACATTTATAGAAACAGAAGTGTAAACCAGAAAGGACACACTTGTATGTTGTTTTGTTGCTGTTTTTGTCTACACTAGGGATAGGGAAGCAGGGGGGAAAGAGTCAGCAGACTGGAAATTCAAAAGCAAAGATACAGCACCTTGTTAAAAAGTTTCCTGGGTACAGCATAAGGGAAAGCATGAAGTCTGGTGCAATTTTATTGTTTGGCTTCATTAAATATTTTCAGTCATATGATACATAGGCATTGAACTCCATCAAATCAGGTGGAAGGAAAACCAATAATCCAATTTTTTCTCAAAGATGGCTCGGAACAGAATATAAGCAAAGGATAAGTTTCTTTGCATGGAGTAGAGCAAGCACTGTGCAAACGCACTGCAAACAGGCCATGAGGTTCTCTTAAGTTCCACTAACCTTCACCTTAGAGAAGTACTAAAATCCTCATAAATAATATAACACATTAATGGGTAGGTTTTAAACATTGTGGTCTGCCACTTAAAAAGCACAAGGGTAGCAGAGCACAGTGGTAGAAGTGAGAAGTATGTGGCTTGTTGTCCTGTGGTTATCTTGGAAGACAGAACAGCACACTGCACTATGGCCACAACTTATGAAGCCAAAGCTCAAGCTGACCTCAAACAATAGCAGCCCAATCCTTCTCTTCCATGCCCAGGTCATAAAAATATTACACAAACAATTCCTACCTTCAAGACAGAGACAGAAATCTCACTGACCTGAGCATCCCAGCTCTCCTACTACAGCTCTGAGAAGAGCTGTAGTATACCTATTCTCTCCCTTCTTATAGCCCACATGGGACTTCGTAAGCTCACACCCAATGCCATGAGCCTTCAGCTTTGCTATCAGTTCCCCTTCCTAATCATCCAAAAAGAGATTCACCTGACCTTAGGTATCTAGTAGTAAAGCAAACAGCTTGTTAACCAGGAGTCCCTACTGCTGGTAACTGATCTCTTCCAATTCAGGTGTTCCAGAACCTAAAAGGTCCCACAAGATGCATACACAGAGTTGCATTTTAGCCTAACGCAGGTAGCCTAAAAGGTTTAGCACGCTGGTCATTTCTCCTATCAGTCTTCAACCAAACACTCCCAAGGCTTTACAACCCAGCTCCATAACCCAAATGAGGCATAAAAAAGCTAGGAAATGGAGTGCTGAGCCTATACTCCTAAGTCCAGATCAACCTAAAAGCAAATGGTTTGTGAGCTGCAGAGCACATGTGAGCTGGCTGTATAAAGCAAGAACAGAACACATTGTCAGTGTGGTGGGAACCTGATCCTTTCACAAGCTAATGTTTGCTGCTCAGCATTGTTCTTTTTCTTCATTAAGGGTCTGGCTCAAGCCACGTTTCGCTTTTGGGCTTCAGGAATTCAGTGTAGCGTGAAGAAGTGCTCCCATTAAAGGTCATCCATAAATACGTCTCATATGGAGATATTCTAAGCTTCACATAAAGAAGGTCTTCATATGTAAGGAAACGTTGCCCTTGAATGAATTCTTCATCTGTTGCAGTTGTGATAGGTACACAAGACTTGAGGAAAAGTGAAATTCTTATGGACTCTGGATGTATTACCAGCTGACCACTGAGTACACAAAGCCAATGCTCTATTTTACCTTTCCCGAAATTCTTGCATTGAGTTAGGATGGCAAAATGCCATTTTTCCCCACCACCATATATTTTGAGGCTTGCTGTAAACTGTCATTATAATTCTAACTTTTACTTCACATTAAGGCCTACTTAAAGTATGATGTGGTTATGTATATATAGAAGGCTTATATATATATATACACACACATATACACTAGTTATCAATATGATGCTCTTTCTCCATGACGGTGTAATTAAATTCTATTGTCACTGTGCACTGTATTGAGGCCAATGTACCGAGCAAAACAGTTAAGTAACAATACCCTGTTTGACAGCATCTTCAGAAAGCTAAATAATCACAATCTACAGATAAACTGGGCCTTCACACTGAAACTGAGTTTAATCACCTCATATAAAGAAAATACTGGGAAATATATTCTGCACATTATTCTTACAAAGTCTTCTCTTTATCCTTGGGAAATAAATGATGAGATCTACAAAGAAAATGTCTTCATGTGAAGGAGACCTATAAAAACACTGATAAACAGACAGAAGTTTTACTGCCTTTAAGAAGAAATCAATGGCACTGATATTTAGTTGAGATATTATAATCTATAAATGCTTGAAAGTTTTACATTTCAGAATTCTTTTATCTTTCTACAGCCACACCATTTAAAACAAACTGGCCAACCCAGTTGGAGGAGACAGTCTATTTGTCAGATTTTAGTGTTAGTGTTAGACTCAGTTTGAATGAGGCAGACAATTAGTCAGATTTTAGTGTTAGTCCTGCAAATGGCAGCTCTGAAATTAATGCTTTTCTCAAAAGCAACAGCTGGTGCTCCAGGAAGCTGGTGGTGGGCCCAGCCATGTGTATGACTTGAACTCATAGGCCCTGGTGTGGGGATGAGGAAGCAAGCAGGGGTTGTGCAAGAAAGAACTTTGATGCAGTTTGACAAAAGAAATCAAAATGGAAGAATAAAGAATCCCTGAACACATCTCCTGAGCAGAGACAGGTAGTCTTTGAGGTGATAGGGGGGATTTTGAAGACATGGAACATACGCAACTGTGTCTTGTATTGAAGCTGGTGGAGAGGTTGGGAAGGATTGACTTAACATTTTCCTCTTTGGTTGTTTTTGAGTGGCTGCGAGAGAGTTTTGCAAAGCCCTATACCTGCCCTTGCTCTGACTGAAAGTTTTCTCTGCTCTCCCAGATCAGCATCTTCATGACCCATTTGTCTAATTATGGGAATGACCGCCTGGGGCTGTACACCTTCTCAAACCTGGCCAACTTTGTGAAGAGCTCGACCAACCTGGAACTGCAGACACTGCCACCCATCCAGCTGGCACACAAATACTTTGAGCTCTTTCCTGAGCAGACAGACCCCCTTTGGCAGGTAATGTCTTGACCTTTCCCTGCCTCCAATTACATTGCTTGAATCTGTTCCTGTAAAAATAATAATAATAATAAAAAAGTAAAGTGCCTGCTTCAATTTAAAAAGTTATTTTTCAACTCACCTCAAATCAGGCATATTAAAAGCAACTACATGAGCAAAAGCTCCTTCCTTTGTTTATCTGCAGGTTTGCTGATGCATCACAATGTGTTAACTAGTTACAGGGCTCTACCAGCAAGATGAGTGCAGACAGCCCATAGCAAGAGCTACCCCAAGACAAACAGCACATGTCCATTGTGCCAATCAATGGAAGCAGCTACACGGATTTCATGCCACTTGAACCTCCTTCACTTGTTCAAAGAAACAAGAAGGAAGGGACAGAGGGGTCAGTGCTGTAGAATGGGCTGCTGTTTTAGGAAAGGAAAAGGGTTTCCACACAGTCCACAAATGGCTGTTTTCTATCTCTGTTGCAAATGCACAATAGTGCTGCTTATAATCTCTACGCTGTAACTTCCCAATCATTGTTGTACATGTCTGGCTCTTCTCTTATTCAGAATACGATGTGCTACACTGCACTTTTAGCTATGTAGGCTTAAATCCAGAGTGACACCATTGAGATCCAAGCAGTTTTATCAAGCTTATGCTCATACAAAGGAGCAGAAAATCTTGCTATTATTTTTGGCCCAGATGCAAAAGAAGTATAAATCAACAATATTCCCACTGAGTTTAGTGGAGCTGCAGTGATTCACATTTAATGATTTTCTCCTTTAAATTTTGCTAACTTTTTTCACTAGCAAACTGTATCTTCTATTACCAGGCAATACTATGCAAAAGCAGGATCCATATGATAAGTCCTAACCTTTCTCTTGGGGTCTTTCGTCACACATTTTTATTTTGCATTCATGGGCAGTAAAAAGATAAGAAGATGAGTAATATCCCACATTTCTATTCTGCCTTCCTTTTGGGTTCTTATGTAAATTTAAAATTGGTACTAAGAGTACTATGCATCTGAAACCATTTCATCACCTTTGAAAGTAATGCCTCAAAGCTATTCAAACAGAGGTTTCCATTTTAACTTCAAATGAAAACTTGATTAAATCAATGGTTTAATATTTCTTTTCTTTTTCTTTTTCTTTTTTTTTTTCTCTAATGACTGAACTTAATCCTCAGTCATGTAAAGCCATTATACACACATTTAATTTTTGTCAAAGGGACAACACACATGCTTGCCTAAATGCCCATAGGCTCTGAGCTGATGAAAAGCACTAGGCTGATGGAGAGAGGGAAACACAGTAGTCTTGCAAGGTGTGGATTTTGAAACCAATCTTTCCAGGTTTCACAGAGCTGTTCAGCTATCCTGATTTCACTGGGGCCCCTGTAAGGACCAGTCCTGAATGGTATCAAGGAACTTAGTCTCTGTATACCTGGAAACTCTGGTGCCCAGTACAGTGGACAGATTTCCAGGGATACCTCAATATCTGCGAGGAATAAACTCTTATGCGGAAATATCACAGAATCATAGAATGAATCATGTTGGAAGGGACCTCAGAGACCATCTAGTTCCAATTCCCTCTGCCATGGGCAGGGCTGCCACCCACTAGATCAGGCTGGCTGGGGCCCTATTACAACCTGGCCTTGAGCACCTTCAGGGATGGGGCATTCCATAGCGTCTCTGGGCAGCCTGTGACCACCTTCTGCATAAAGAATTTCCTCCTAACATCTAATCTAAATCTTCCCTTTTAGTATTGGAAAGCTCCCTTTAAGTACTGGAAGGCCACAATGAGGTCTCCCCAGAGCCTTTTCTTCTCTGGACTGAACTAGCCTTGTTCCCTCAAGCTTTTTTCATAGGACAGGTGCTCTAGTTCACTGACCACCTCTGTGGCCCTCCTCTGCACCCATTCCAACAGCTCCATGTCCTTTCTGTACTGGCAGCCACATGTCTGGACATAAGACTCCAGATGCGGCCTCACAAGAGCAGAATAGAGGGGGACAATTACCTCCCTTTCCCTTCTGACCGCCCCTCTGTTGATGCAGCCCAGAATACAGTTTGCCTTCTGGGCTGCAAGCATGCATTGCTGGTTCTTCTCATGCTTTTCACGTCCTTTTCAGCAGGGCTGCTCTCAATGAGTTCTTCTTTCAGTCTTTACACATACCTGAGATTGTTTCAACCCAAGTGCAATACCTTGCTTTTTACTATTTTGTGTAAGGCTATAGTATTAGCATGTAAGATTTAGATTCTGCAAAGTCTCATATGCGTGCAAAATGTTTAGGATGCCTCTGGCATGATTCTTCTTCAGAATCCATGTGATGACAAACGACACAGAGATATTTGGCCCAGAGACAAAACTTGTGACCACCTACCCAAATTTCTTGTGATAGGACCCCAGAAAACAGGTAAGAAACAATAAATTTGTAATCTAAACCAAATCCCAGATTTGTATCTATGTGTGTAAACTGTGACCATTTCCCTGCTGTAGAAAATGCATTCCTCATCCATATAGGATTCAGATAGTAACTCCTCCATCACTAACAAAGAGAAAGAACGGGATGAATGGTAATATTGCATTCTCTTTCCACTACTAGCCACTGCTAGAAGTCCTAGAAGTCTGCTAAGGGAGTAGCACTGAAATTTCCCATCAGTTTCTATTCTAATGGGTATTAATAATCTTTCCCAATGCTGTATTTATTTGAACAGGGAAGGCTCAGATTACGATTTACTTGTTGCCTTCAATTATGGTTTTCTTTCCAAAAACTGAAGACACTGTAAGATGTGAAGATAGATTATTTTGGCAATACTTCAAGTTGATTTGCTTTTGGGAAGAAGCATGAGCTCATTCCCATTTGCAGGAGGGATTGGGCAGCACTGGCTCGGTGCTCAGATGCTCTCCAGAGCTGGTTCTTGCTGTCAGCCAAAGGGTGAGAATCCCAGCATCCCCGTGAAAACGCAGTTGCTGATGGCAGCCATCCGAGCCACAAGCAGCTATGTGTGCACCTGCCTTGTGCACTGATGTTGAAGTAGACTGTTGTGGCACTTTCAAAGCTGGTACTTGATGGCTGTGCACATCTAATTTCACTGCTGACTTCCACCCACTGGTAATAAGACAGTGCAGGAGAAGGCAGTGTAAACATTCACCATAAGGAAATATGCTGTCAGGGTGCTGTAAGTTAAGTTTGTTATTAAGTTCTTTGACAAATTGTTTCCTCACTGTTTGAGACCCTAATTGCCAGAAAACCCATTTACCTCTTTACAGGCCTCCTCTGGGGGTCTCAGCATTATTTAAATTGAGCCACATATTCCCACTCCCAAGCTAGCTGTTACTGTTGTTGACATACTACAGAAAGTGGATATTGAGGCAGGGAAATGAATGAATAATCCAAGACTATATAGAGATACTGTGACAGTGACAAAGAGACAGAAGGTCTTGATTCATAGTCCAATGATAGCTTGCATAGCTATGTAGGTTTGTTGGCAGGTAGACAAGTCAGATAAAATACACCATGCCTCCTTGATAGACTTTTTATTCCTCAATAGCAGACCTCCCCAGGAGAAATGCACAGAGGAAAAAAGTGCTGTTCTGGGAGCAAGAGAAGCACAATAACACAATTAATACTTTGGAAAACTTTTGTGCATGTAAACAATTTAAAAACAAACATGTTCAGGCCAAATTTTATCACTGGATTAACAAAGTCAAGAAAGTAATGTCACCAACAAGAGTATTATTACTGCCTCAGAAAGCAGAATTCAGAATCCAGAAATGGGAACAGTTTACGAAGCACAGAAAAAATTTTCACATATTCCCCACTTTATCTGACAGTAGCTTGCTCCTACATACCCCTTTCACAAATAGACAAAGGAAACCTTTCTAATTTTCCAGTATATCGCAGTGTGAACTGAGGCAGAAGTACTTTCTTATATCAATTAAGTAAATGGTGGTTTTTTGTGTAACCTAATGACATCTCTTTGCATTTTTGTAGGAACAACAGCACTTTATTTATTTCTTCTGATGCATCCTTCTATTACCAGTAATCTCCCTAGCCCAAAAACTTTTGAAGAAGTTCAATTCTTCAATGGGAACAACTATCACAAAGGAATTGACTGGTAAGAAAATTAACAAAAATGAAGTATTCATTATCAAAACATGATGAATCACAATGATACAATAACAGTAGCATGTATGACATCTACATAAATACTGCATTAATTTGTTATGCTTGACATTATCAGAGAGAATGAGAATCTTATTTCTAATGATAGGACATTTAATCACATCATAGAATCATCATAGAATCATAGAATGGCCTGGGTTGAAAAGGACCACAATGATCATCTACTTTCAACCCTCCTGCTATATACAGGGTCACCAACCACCAGACCAGGCTGTCCAGAGCCACATCCAGCCTGGCCTTGAATGCCTCCAGGGATGGGGCATCCACAACCTCCTTGGGCAACCTGTTCCAGTGTGTCAACACCGTCTGTGTGAAAAATCTCCTTTTAATATCTAACCTAAGCCTCCCTGTCTCAGTTTAAAACCATTCCCCTTTGTCCCATCACAATCCACCCTCGTAAACAGACATATTCCCTCCTGTTTATACACTCCTTTCAAATATTGAAGGTCACAATGAGGTCTCCCCAGAGCCTTCTCTTGTCCAAGCTAAAGAAGCCCAGTTCCCTCAACCTTTCTTCATAGGAGTATTGCAGTAACAATTTCCTTATTCTATTCACAACAGCAAGCACAGTTATGATGGCTGTTTTCTGAATAACATTTCTGTCTTCTCATAACTATGTATTTTGAAAGGAATGAATTATACTTTTTTTCTTCAGTGTTTTTAATTAAGTAAAATTTGGCTTCTCATGAGAAGAAAAAAAGCTCACCATAAAGATTTTCAGCTGATTCTTGTCTCATAAATTTTAAACATTGCTTTTATTGCTTTTGCTTAAGAAAAAAATTTTGTAAGGCTTTTGTTTCCATGGGGAATGACACTCCTCATCTTTGTACAAAAAACAAAATACAAGACAAACATCATATTATACAGAAACAGATCAATCTTTTCCGAGTTGTCGTGAAAAAGGAGGAGAAAGAAATACTTCTCATTCATTTTTCATAGTGTGTAAGCGAAGAACTCACACATAGATATCACAGAGTATATGGTATACTACCCAAGAAGGAGAAAGACTGAGATGAGCAGGGCTAGTGGATCAGGGCTTGGCTCCCAGCATGGCAGAGCTAAAGTGCTGTGGATACCCATGAACCAGCCCTTATTCCCTAAAAACCATGTGAGACTGTGAGTCTCTCCTCTGCAGCACCTTGCACACAAAGAAGCTGACCTTGCTGAGACCTCTTCTGGCACATTTCACTGGGATTGGCTGCTAGGCTCAAATGTCAGCTTTGCACACAGGGTAAGGTCCCACACACTTTGTTTCAGCAGAAAGTTCTTAAAAACAACCTGCCACATCAGAATGGAAGTTTCTGGAGTACTCAGCCAAACTAACAAGACCAAAAAATGCCTCCGTTTGAATTCTCCAGTCTTTGGATTAAACTTCCTATGCTATTCATTTTTACTTCAAATCAATTTTCAATGGAAAAGATCATCAAAACCAAAATTTGAAATCTTGCTTTCTGAAAATGGCCAAAAGATTTGTCAGTTCAAAGGTGAAATATTTAAACAATGTTATAACTAAATGGTTTGCATTTTGAAGCTTCTCTCATTTTTTTTCTCTGGCTAAAACTGAACTGGTAAAAAATTTCCTTGTGACACTGAACTTATTAGAAAAACCCCATCCATCAAAGGGAAAACCTAATTACCTGACTTCATGGAGGATTTAGCTATTACCAGTACCATCCAAGAGCCAAAATCTTTTCCCCCTATTCCAGTTCTGGAGTGAGCTGAGAAATTTAATTTTGCTTGTTATGAATTATGTCTGAAAATCTGCTTTTTGACCTACCATGAAATGAGATGCAGACGCATATGACCCTTTTAATTCTAATTAATTTCTTTACCTTCCAGGTACATGGATTTCTTCCCCACTCCTTCCAATACCACCACCGACCTTCTCTTTGAGAAAAGTGCCAACTATTTTCATTCTGAGGAAGCTCCTAAACGAGCAGCTTCCCTCATCCCCAAGGCCAAGATCATCACCATCCTCATCGATCCATCTGACCGTGCCTATTCTTGGTATCAGGTATGGACCTTGCCTTCAAGAAACAGACAGTGAAATCAACAGTGGGGGATGATGACCATCATCAGGGGGAATTTGTGCCCTTGAGCAAGAACAGGATTTATTGCACAGCATTTGCACTGTGTAAAAGTGGAAGGATGCTGAATGCCAGCTTTTGCAGTTGGCACCTGTAACACCAGTGTCATAAATGATGAAACTTCTCAGCACAGAGCTGCCACTAGCTGTAAACAAGCATATTAATCTCAATTACATTTGACACTACATAGAGGAAAAGCAATGTTCCTCGCCCAGGGAGATGCACGGGGGAAAATGAGCATGGCCTAGCTAGAAATCAGAGCTTTTTATGCTGAGAATCTGGTTCCTCATCTAGTCCTCTGTCTTGCAAGCTGAGTAATACGGAGTAGTGTACAAATATATGTAATGTCTTCTGAAGTTTCCTCCTAGCTGAAAAGAGATGTGTCTGAAGAGTAGGGTTGAGGGTTTTTTTTCTTTTTGTGGAAATAAAACAAAACATTAATTTTCTAAGGAATCTCTAGAATGCTCTTTCATGTCTTTTATCATGTCCATACCTTTCCATAAGAAAGTCTGTACACTGTTTTTCTAAAGAGATATTTTAGTATGCAAAATATGGTGTGATTGCAGAAATTAAGAAAATACTAAAAATGGGGTTAAAATGGACACAAATAGTGTTGCAATAAGCATAAAGTACGATATTTCTGATACTGTGGCTTAGAGCCACAATCTGCACCCTTTCTAATTTGCATGTGTATAAATGCTGATGTGAGATGTGGAGCAGTAAAACATTGGATCTCCTTTGGCCGAACACCTCATCAGCTCTTCTCTCACTCCTGGCTCCAGCATGAAGTAGACAGAGGTGCAGAGAAGAGCAGGCACAACCTCCATCTCTCACACATTGCAAAATCTGAACTGAGGTTGTTGCCTTCTGAGTGGGGAGTTATAAGATGTATTGGAAGAGAGGCTGTAAGGAGTCGTGATTTTGCTCTTTGAGGGAGTTAGAAGTACCAGAGCAATTTGTTCCTCTTTTTCTCTTTGATCATGGCTTAATCTTCAGAGTCATAGTGATGTGTGACTAAATATCTCCCATTAGCATCAGCGCTCTCATGAGGACCCCACTGCTCTGAAATTCAATTTTTATGAAGTCATTACGTCAAGCCCCTGGGCACCCTCAGAGACAAGGACTCTCCAGAAGAGGTGTCTGATGCCTGGATGGTATGCTGTCCACATTGAACGATGGCTAACTCACTATCCAGCTTCACAGGTAACTTCCAATCTGTTAGTTCATCAAAGTTTGAGAAGGTCCTGCAATGAGTATTGGCCTCATTGATAGAGGTAATGGGATGCTGCCCACTGGAACTCTTAGCCATTATGAAGTGCAGATTTGTCAATATCAGAGCATTTACCAGAAATATTTTGATTTTTCTGTCTTCTGTTGGTTAAGATGCAACAGGAAAACTCTTTGGCCTGTAGCCACATGGAGTTGACGAGTGACTTAGGACCTTCCTTCCAGGATCACCAAGGCTTCTGGGTCTCAAGAAACAAGCATAATTAGCAAGAGACATTGTAGGAAGCTTTGCCAAATTCATCCAGAAAATGCCAAGGCTTTATCAAAAATACAAATTCAATTCCCCCTGCCACTCACTTTGTTTCATAGAAAATTTCATATTTATTTGATGCTGGTAGGGAATTAGCCTTCCTCAGTAATGGAGCAGAAATTTTATCTGTTGCTTCATCTTCCTTCAGATATTTTATTGAATTGTCTTTTACAAACCTTTCCATGAACATTTAACATAAACATATAGGCCTAACCAATATCATACAATCATAGAATCATCTGAACTATCTAAACTAACTGTCCACCTACTGCCAATATTGCCCACCTATGTACCTAAGTACTACATCTACCCTTTCCTTGAATATCTCCAGGGATGGTGACTTTACCATCTCCCTGAGCATCCTGTTCCAGTACCCGACTACTCTTTCTGAGGAGAAATTCTTCCAAATTCTGAGCTTCCCCAGCACAACTTGAGTCCATTTCCTCTTGTCCTTTCACTGTTACCTGGCTGACATCCACCTCACCACAACCTCCTTTCTGGCAGTTCTAGAGATTGGTAAAGTCTCCCCTGAGCCTCCCCTTCTTCAGACTTAACAATCTCAATTTCCTTAGCCACTCCCCATAAGACTTGTGCTCCAAATCCTTCACAGCTTTGCTGCCCTTCTCTGGACATGCTTCAGGGCCTCAATGTTGGTAGTGAGGGGCCCAAAACTGAACACAGTTCAGAGCTGAGTACAGAGGGACAATAACTTCCCTGCTTCTGCTGGCTGCACTATTTCTGATACAAACCAGGATGCCATTGGCTTTCTTGGTCACCTAGACTCATTGCTGGCTGATGTTCAGGTGAGCATCAGCCAACACTCTCAGATCCTTCTCCTCCACACAGCTTTCCGGCTACTCTGCCCCAAGCCTGTAGTGTTACATGGGATTGTTGTGACCGAAGTGCAAGACTCAACCCTTGGTCTTGTTGAACTTCATCCCATTGTCCTCAGTTCACTGATTCGATCTATACATGTTCCTGTGGCATTCTAGAGCCCTCCTATCCTGAGGCAGATTGATACTACACCTTGGTGTTGTCTGCAATCATGCTGAGTTTATGCTCAGTTCCCTCATCCAAGTCATCAATAAAAGCATTTAATAGGACAGGCTCCAATGCTGACCCCTGGGGAGCACCACTCATGACCAGTTGCCAGCTGGATTTAACTCCATTCAACAGCATTCTCTGGGCCCAGCCCTCCAGCAAAGAGTGCACCTGTCCAGCCCACAGGCTGACAGCTTCTTCAAGTGAATACTGTGGGAAACAGACTCAAAAGCTTTGCTGAAGTCAAAGTATACTATGTCAACAGCATTTCCCTCATCCACTGAGTGGGTCATGCAATCATAGAAGGAGATCAGGTTGGTCAAGCAGGACTTGCTTTTTGTGAACCCATGCTGGCTAGACTTGATCTCTGGGTTGTCCCACACATACCGTGTGATCTCACTCAAGATGATCTGCTCCATAACCTTCCCTGGCACTAAGGTCAGGTTGACAAGCCTGTGATTTCCCAGATACTCCTTATGGCCCTTCTTGAAGATGGAAGTTACATTGGCAAATCTCCAGTCTTCTGGGACCTCTCTAATTGACCGGGACTGCTGACAGATGGTGGAAAGTAACTTGGCAATCACCTCCACCTTTGGTGGATTCCACTTGGCCCCATGCACTTGTGACAGTCCAGGTGGAGTAGTAGGTCTCTAATTGTTTCCTTCTTTATTGTGGGGGATTTAATCTGCTCCCCATCAAGTCACAAGACTGAGTACTCTGAGGAGAACTGGTCTGAAATATGCCTATTACCAAACAACAATTGTTTTGTGATATAAACCTAAAGAAAATGCTTTAGTGTTACATAACAGGGGCATTCTTTACCTGTGTACATGGTCCACTGTTTACATACTATATCTGCCTATTGTAAGAAAAAAATATTAAAGGGCATTTAAAGAATAAGCATGTTTGTCCTGGGAAATCTGGAGCATGCACAGAGTACCAAGTCTCCCATGCCCCATTACCTGTGTTCCTTATTCTCTTTTCTTCTGGACTGGGCTGCTGCCATCTCTCATGAAGATTTCTCTACTTCTCCTACAACAGCAAAAAGCAAATGCACACCTCTTATTAAACATGCAGGGGCACACTGACATATTTCTTGTAAAACTGGTAACCACTCATGTTGCATAGCTGTAGTGATTAATTTTACAAGACACACAACAAAATGCACTCATTCTTAATAAGGTGCGCAGAGAGTGCACTCACGGTGCTTACTAATGTGTAGTCAGTAATATGCATTCACTCAGCCTGAGCACTCAAAAACTTAATAATTCATAATAAGCCCTCATGATAAATATAAAACATGTCTGTCCAGAATAGTTATTAGCATTGCTTCTTGGTTCTCTGGGAGACTTTTGATGCATACTCTTAACATTTGCTTGAGCAGGTCAATGTACCTTTACATCACGACAATTCTAAATTAAAAAAAAAGAGAGAGAGAGAGAGACCTTTGCTAACAATTTTGCAAGACTGATGGTAATTCTGGAATAAACTACCACAATATCACTTTTGAACATTTAATTGTTTGGCTTCTGGACATTTAATTCTAAGATACAAGCATTCTGTCAATTTTCTTATTCCATGCCACACTTCCCATGGACACACTAAACCCTTGAAACATTTTTACATTCCTTCCTTATCTCTCTGACTCAGTATTCTTTGGTACTTGGGTTAGGTTTGTGAGATCTAACTCTTCCTCTGAACAAGAAGGAGATAATGTTATTCCGTTCTTTAACCTCTACCTGTTTCTAACTGACTGGCATATTTATCCCTACAGTTGCTAATTATTGATGGACAGCAGCTAAGAAGTGACCCAGCTACTGTGATGGATGAAGTGCAAAAGTTTCTTGGAGTCTCTCCTCACTATAATTACTCTGAAGCTCTAACGTGAGTCTGTTTCTTTATCATCTGCTCTATGGAATTACAGAGTAGTATATCATTAATTGCTAACAACTACAAAAACTCACAAGAAAAACAATTTTGCAAAGAAAAAAGCAATTTTTTTGAAAGTTGTATTTAAGATGCATTCAGTTTTCCCCTAACTTGAATACATATATTATAGAATTTAATTGCAAGGTTGCACACATTTTCATGTGCAAATTCTATTTCACACAACATACAGAGCAAATGCTTGCTCAGTATTTTGTATTAGGAACAGAATGAAGGCCCATGTTCACATAAAAAATGTCTGCTACCTTTGAGTGTTAAACCACAGATGCCCAAGATGTTTTCTCTGGTTCTAGTGCTGCTTTCCTAGCTGCAGTGATTAATATGTGGGTTCAGTTGATGTAAGTTGTGCATGTACAAGCTCAGCACACATTTGCAAATCACACTGTTAAGCATTATGATATCCTCCAGAAGCTGAAGACCCCCTAGTGTTAAGTCTGAAAAGATTAGTTTAAACATTTTTACCACATTTATTTAGCTGTTTAATGGCAGAGATTAGGAGAACAGCATTCAGTATGGTGGGATTCATCTGCTTGCAAAGTTTGCTTTTACTGTAGACCAAATACATCATTCCCTATTCCTTTTTCCATAAGTGGTTGGGCCAGTTCTGTTGTCTTTTTCCCTGGCAGCAGTCAGGAACGCAGCGTGAGTGGATCTTGTCTGTACGCTGGCAGTTGGGTGCAATTATGAAACACAACTTGCAGACCTCAACCTGGGATACGGGGGAAGCTCAGATTTTCATCTGAAGCTGGAAACCCTTTGTTGCCTAGGGTGCCAGCGCTGCAACTGGAGGTGCTCTGCAGGAGACCAAATCAAGGTCCTTACACAGAGTAGAAGCCTTGTGATTGACTGCCTGCAGCCTCTGGCTTGGAACTAGTGACTGCAGCTACGATGAGCTCGGATCATATTTCTCATCCTTGCCACCCTGAGGATAAGACTTTCCCCAGAATAGGGGATTAATGGCCTATGTAGCACTTTCTCTTTGACATGTTTCAATTCCCTGCAGGAAGGCAGAGTCTTTGTGGAGGCGGTAGTGGGCTGAATTTATCTCTACCCTCCTAGTCCAACAGCAAATTGTAAGAAGCTTTTGCACGGAACATCTCTGTGTGAGGATCTTGTCATCATAAGCAGAGCTGCACTGAAGGAGTCCTGGCATATTCGTGGGCTGAGAAGCCTTGTGCCCCGATCAAGGCTCTTCCTAGCCCTTGACAGAGGGGTTGGCACAAGGGAGAACATCTGCCTTCCCTTTCTGCATACTGGCAATGGGAAAACTGCCAGAAAAATGAGGCCAGCAAGGCCCCTCTGGCCCCACACAGTTCCTTCTCCATCTACAATTTGTCTTTAGTATTGCCTCTGGTGGAAGGCTTATACTTATTTAAACTGCAGGCATGAAGTTAGAGCTGAGGGTCTGCTGCTCTTTGACTCTCAGGGACATTGCTCTGCCAAAATAGTTTTCTAGAGGAGAAGTTTTGGATTTCTGAATGTGATTTTTTAAGTCGTTAGTTTCTGAAGCGGAGGAAATACAGCTGTATTACTGGTGCTCAAACAACTGCTGCTACACATCTGCAGGGCCTTCTGCTTTGCTCTAATAATACACACCTACATGCATATTGCTTCCTTTCTGTAACTGAATTAAAGTCAGAGGAGTAACATATAGTAAAAAAAAATGGCATCTCCTATGTTTTTGAACAGAAAAAAATGTATTGCAAAAAGTTTTATAAAATTATGCAATCACCATTTAGAGACACTGAGAATGCAAATGTGTGATGGAAGACCACACCTCTGCAAGGATTTAGAATGGAAAATGAAAATGCGTTAAATGACGTAGTGGCTTTATCTTAGAACAGTCAATGTAATAGATAATTCCTAGTCATTACTGCCTAATAACTGCATACCACACATTTTAAAGTCATCACACAGCAGCCCATGGATCCAGTCCTGCAAATGCTAGCAAGCGATAAGTTCATTATCAATCATGAGTACATAAACATCCCATGGGAGAGCAATATTCACGTAGGGACCAGAGAACCAGCCCTTCTCAAGCTGCAGAGTGAACAGAGCAAGGAAGTACATATCACACTGGGTTGCCAGCTGGATCACCATCTCTTCCACACATCAGGACACTCTTCCTGTTGAAGTAGTAAAACCCAAATGGGAAATGAACAAATATTGCAATGACTTACTTAACACATAACATTGGTAGGAATACACTGTGATCACCAGGCAAAGTGCTAGGAGAAGGAAAGAAGTCCATAGTGTTTCATGAAGTTCCTACCTCTTTCTATTCTACTCAGTTATGTATACAGGAGCCCTGAGATTTTTGTAATAACTGGACACAGTAGGTTGAATTAAGTCTGAGATGCCTTTTCCTCTATCCAGAAAAGCCCTCTCTTCTACTATCTAAACTCACACATTCCTTTAATAATATTCAGTATGCTAAGTCTGAGGTAGAAATATTGTTTGGGGCATGGTTTTGCAGTTTTCCTTTTATGTCACATACTATATTACTTCTCCTCTTGGGAAATTAGTGCAAGCCAGCTAACGTGCTTCTGTATGCAATGAGAAGAAAGAGAAAGCCGAAGTACAAAGGATTCTAACATCAATATACCCATTTAATCAATGATTTATTTATTTTAAATTGATATAGCTACTGAAACAATTTAGGAAACAAGGATAAGACTTGCAATAATAGGCTAGGCAAGAAAAAAAAAAGGTGAAGAACGTTCACTCTTCTCCAGAAATTAGTTCTGTACAGCAGCAAATCACAGGTATGCCCATGTTATATGGACAGATCCAGGGCAGAAAGGTAGTCTGTAACTAATTAACTCCACGTTCCAGACAATTATACTTCATCCTTCTCAAACATCTGCTGAATAGCAGAAACGAACGTTTTCAGTGCCTTATGCATGCTGCAAGTCCCACTGCAATAAATTCAAAACTTAACACTGTGTGTTGTTCATTCCTTAGTGAGTATGTGCTTTAATGTCTTAATCTAAGATTCCTATATCTTTGAATTTTAGACATCAAAATCAAATTGCATATTTCATGTAATATTGTTAAGGCAATGTTTATATTTTAATCCCTTCTTTGGAACAGAAGTGATACTTAGGCCTAATGATATGGAACAACCAGCTTCTCAGGTGGAGTTCAATTACCAAGAAGAAAACAGACATTCTGTCAGACAACATAAGCACTACTTATTTCACTCAAAAAATCAACATAAAACATTTTTATATTGGATTTCTTATCATTACATAGTCCAATCACACACTTTACTTTAGAAATATACTTAAAGATTGAGTCTGTGTCTGTCAAAGTCTGCAAAATATATCAGATTGCTCTTTTTAACCTCTTTCACATTACTGACCTACAATATTATCAGCTCCTACTGGCCATCTGGAGCACTTTTCTAGAGCAAAATGATAATATTCTTGAGAATACAGTGTGCATACTTCCAGGAAAAGGGTTGGTCAGTAATTCTCCAACAAAGGTTTCTTTGCTCTTTGTCAACTGATCAAAATGTAAGCATTGATCCATTGATCTGACATGGATAACACCTCTGAACAAAACCAGACTACAAAATATGAGTAACAGTCTGGAAGACCTTTGAGGTTGTCCTTCAACTGGCATCCTATAGCTCTACATTTGAAACGTGCACTCTATATGCTGGGGGAGCAGAATAAAAAACAGATAGCATAGGTAAAGTACAGTGTGAAAAACTTATTGCCTAGAACCACTTTCAAAATGAATTGGGGAAAAAAAATATTAAATTCCCAAAGTTTTCATGAGAGGAAAGCTACTTCCCACTCTGTTCTCACTATTTATGTTATGTAGAGATGTTTGCAGCCATAATTGTTAGCTAACCCTGATATTATATTAGCTGTGAGATTCTTCCATAATTAAATTTTACATATAATTATAATCTTTTATAGGTTTGACCCTCAGAAGGGCTTTTGGTGCCAGTTACTGGAAGGAGGGAAAACAAAGTGCCTGGGAAAAAGCAAAGGTCGAAAATACCCACCCATGGACCAAGAGGTAAAGGCTTTACAGAGATTTACGTTAATGGTTTTTTTAATACAGGTGCTATGTTTGAATCTTAAAGCAAGCACTTTAAAAATAGTAATAATAACATAAAATCACTGGCTTGGTATTCTTAAAAACCAAAATTTTTCAATGATCTCTGAATAGTAAGAACTCCTAGAAGAGGCTCTCCCTAGGAGGCAAGCATAGCTCCCAGGCACCCCACTGCACAGCAGCACGAGCCTGCCACCATTTTCTGCAGGGTGGGCTTTCTTGTCTGACTATTTGTGTTGTTTCCCCCCTCACAGTCCCGAGATTTCCTGTCAAGCTACTACCGAGAGCACAACGTGGAGCTGTCTAAGCTGCTGCACAGGCTGGGGCAGCCCCTGCCCTCCTGGCTGAGACAGGAGCTGCAAAAGGTCAGGTAGCACACACGGGCAGGGGTCCAGCCAAGGATCATTTCCTTCACCGCAAAACCCCTGCTTCTCCGACTCACCTGTGATCGTCAGTAGAGGACCTCGTGAATAATGCTCTTTCTTTAAAAAAAAAAAAAAAAAAAAAATAGAAAAGAATAAAAAAAAACCAACAAGTGTTTATATGCACGTGCTGACAGTTATTAGCATCAACCCCTTTTGTCAGCTTCCAGGAAATAATATGGAGCTACGTGGCATTACTCTTTACCCAGAACAGGATTCGTGCATAGTCTAGTTCCTCTGTTCACCAGAAAGTACCAGAAACTGTGTGTAGGACAGATTGACTTCAGTGTTTATGACAAATTGCAGTCTGTCAGGACACAACCAAAGGATGGGAACATCTCTCGCTGGATTGTGAGGTTGGTTGACTCCTGTTGTTTTTTTTTCCATTCAATCGCACTTCAAGTTTTCCTAATATTTCACTGAGGAATTGAGCACTACGCAACCTGAGTCCCTCGTGTTTATGACATATGCAGGATTAACATACTATTGTTATTTTTGCCACTAAATGAGGTAGGCTAGCTTCTTGTCTCTTTCTCTTTCTTCTTACCTCTTGCTTCTATGGGCTGATAGTTGGACCAAATGATCTTAGTTACACCATTCTTCTGGATTTGTTGTCATAACTCACAACAGTCTGTATTCTTATTTCTGTTGCACACTTTCCTGCTTCACAAGAAGATATATCCTTATTTACTGAGTTACACATATTGTTGACGTACAGGTCACTTTCATCTTGATGGGACTGCTTTGCCTCCCTGATGGTGTTCTTCATCATATCTGCTCAGTTCCTATAGCAGCTGTGATAGAGCTCTGAGATCTGAAGTTATATTAAATATTTTTTTCATAATGCCATGGGACTCCTTAAAACATTATCAAAACCATTTAAAAGCTAAACAGGCCATTAGAGAAATGTACTGACAACAACCTAATGTTGTCAATTTTCATTTTAACTGGAAAGGAAAGTTTTTGCTCTGAAGCCTTCAAAAGAAGAGGATGGGTTAGTCATTTTGGGTCTCAGTCTGAAAACTATTATAGTCTGAAAACTCTAATGACCCAAGCTATTTATTAAGTTTTTGAAAAAATCTACAAAGACCATTGAAGAACAGAGTATTTCTGTAGATTTAACAGAGTTGAATGTACAAGTATATCCACTGTGTATCACAGACACATTTATGATGAATATGTTTTTATGCCTGCATTTCTACATATTGCGTGTATCTAGATCAGGCATACACTTAGTTCCAAATACTTGGGTTTTTTGTGCCCATAAGGAAATGAAAGAATTTGTTACTAAAAATATAATATTATGAAATGCATTTTCTTGTCAGATCTGTGTGGGCAGGGTTGACAAGGCTGAGCAAAAATTGATTGGGAAACTTGAGCTGGGTAAAAAAATAACATTTAGGCACATGAGTCTTGTAACAACTTTTTCTCAAGAAAACAGAAGTTTTGCTACACGTTCTTTATTCAGACTTCCTTGTAATAGTTTCTAAACACAAGCCCTTTCAGGTGATGCATCACAACACCATTTTTGCTAGCATTTTTTGGATTGACAAGCCCAGGGGTTCCCACAGCTGTGCTGGATGCATTTTGCCTGCAAGGGCAAGATAGTGGTGGCACTTCTCACAAGTGTCCTCTGGCACCACCTGCTGACATATTTTCCTCTCACGTGTCCTTTGCTTTCCTCCACCGTTGACCAACAGTCTTCACCTGGCTCCCTTTCATGTCATTTCAGCCCGTTAATTGGTCTCACTGATACCCTGCTCCAGGTCCCTATCTCACATGATGAGCCAGCCCTGCCCTCCTTGGTTCCACACACAGCCCATGGAGTTGCATGGGAAAGCAGATGAGGTGCCACCAGCACCAAGTCTCTGTACAGTCCCTTGTGCTCCTCGTCTCCACCTCAAGCTTCACATTTTCTGCATGAGGATTCACAGAAGGGTGGGGAACAGCAGAGGGTCAGGCATTTCCTGCCACCACAGGGTACAACTTATCCAACATCAACAATCCCATGCCTACATGCATAGAGGATGACATGAATATACAGGAAAGCCTGAAAGACAAATGTTGTCTAATCTCATATTTGCTTTTAAATACTGAAATGATATTCATGTCCCACAAATGAGACTTTTACTTCATTTTACAGGTGATAGCAGGAAATAACATTCCTAGGATTCATTTCACTTAATCTCAAAGTAGATTTCTTAAATGAGTGAGATTAATCTTGCCTCTTCCTCATCAGTGATTGTTAAAGGCAACTTGTTCAGAGGGAGAGTCCAGCTGAAGAAGTATAAAGTGAGGTGAGATGAAATGTAAAATGTAAAGTGAAATATAAGACATCTAAAAGTGACTCATCATCATTTAAAAGATGAATTCATAATTAGTCCTCAATTACAAGCTGAAGAAACAAGAAAAAAGTTTCAGGATTTTTTCAAGGAAATGAGGCAAATGCCATAAAATCCAGAACATTCTTTTTTGTTTTTAGCTTTTCATTTAGGAAAAAAAAAAAAAAAAAAAAAAAAAGAGGATTTAATCTTTTCAACTCTCAATTCTGTAATAGCATCGTGTCCTTAAAACGCATTGGACTTTTTTATTTCTCATCGTTATTTTTTTAGTTTGAATGGGCTCTGCATTACCCAGAGATCTTGTGTTCCATTGAAAACTGACATTTGAAGTGACTTCATTATGTGTCACATAAAGATGAAATAACAGCATTTCAAAGTTTCATTCCTTCCACTTGTAATAGGACCCATCAACACAGAATTTCTCCAGATCAGCACATTATAGAGGAGCCTTTGTGAACTAGCTGTAAATGATCTCGATTTCTTTTATGCCTTTGATATCTCTGACCATGTAATTGTTGAGATTCTTAAAGACCAGCAAAACAAATGCAATAAAAATGAAACATTTATTCATGGCAAGGGGGCTGTAGCTCTGAAAGATAATGCTGGGACTTCGTTCCTATTCATAAGCTGCAGGTTTTGTCTCTGCAATACTTCCATGAGGTGCAAGCTGTAAATCAAGCTGAGTTTTACATCCCAAAGGCCTGGAGGGCTGCAGTTATCTTCCACTGCCCTGGAAATACTGATTCCTATATAGGTTTGAAGTAGTATTGCTGCACTAAGAACCTGACCTACTGCCCACTGGAACCAGTAGGAATCTTCCCATTAATTCCAGAAGACCCTGGCTGACCCCAGGATCTGGTTTCATCAAGCACAGTCTGTGTGATTGAAGTTTCACTCTACCCTATCACTGCTGGGAAAGCCAATGTTAGCTTGATTTCTATTACAGAGCACATTTTCTTCCTATCCTGTTAGTTGATCATTGCTATGGCATAGCTGGGGCTTCCTGACTTGCTGCCAGCCTTGTCATATCACTGCCACGAGCTGTGCACCATTCCCCACCCCAGCACCCCACAGGGTACTGTCTGATCTCCCACAGCACAGGTTTCTATCTGCTCCCATCTCCTCCATCTCTGACACGACAAATTGAATACCTCAGAGGCTGACGTGGGTGTACTACAGCAGTTTTCATAACTGAAGTAGGACTTTGGCCCTCAGAAAACCAAGTCTGTGTAATTGAGGTTCTTTTTGAGTGAGAAGCAATTAGAGTGGCATCCAAAAACTTCTAAATTATGTATTGACCTCTCAAGGTCTGAAATAAAGTTGCCAGATTAACTGCTTATAGATGTTTTCTAATAAAACAAATTTTCTCTCTGATATGGAATCAGACTGCCAAGTGTCCCCAAAACAAATTAAGATGGTGACATTATAAATTCTTGGGGGAGGAAAATGTGGAGTAATGAAAGCACTGACGGGTTGAGGCTCTCTGATGCGATAAGGCAGCAAGGACATGCCCTGAATACGAAGGCAAAAGCTGAATATTTTCCCTTCTCCTTCCATGCTTATGTTAAATTTTGAACCAGAGTAGTGCATGAAAATTACATGACAGGCAGAGCCTGTGAGAAGATGGAATATTGCTCATCTCCTGATCCATCAGCCAAGAATGAATGGGTTGCAGGGAGCTTGCTTCAGCTGAGCTGGGCCACCTTAAAGTTAGACATCAACTCCCAACTCATAATTTAGTTTCCAACAGTAGCAAATTATTTTTATAATGGGTATAAAATTGATGTTTATAATAGGTAAGCAAAATACCATCCAAATGAGTGCAACATAGGTATATAAATCAGCAGAGATTAAGTGTCCAATTTTATTGTATTTAAGTAAGATTAAGTTCACTACTATTGTCGTGAGCAACTTTGTTTGCACATGCTATTTAACTTTGCCATTTCAGCTCTCACATTAAAGTACTCACTCTCTTATTGGTAAATACTCTCTTTCTCTCTGAAAAGGCTAAAAACTCATACAGTCACCTCACTAAACTTGTCCTCATCAGTGTCGGAACATGAAAATTAGCTTTAAATGTTAGACTATCCATCATTGTATTAGCTCAAATATCTCTGGAACTGTTGCTTGAAAGATTTTATTTTAAGAAAAGCTTTCTTGCAGGAAAATTCCTATATTGTCCTTATTTTCTCTTTTTCTTTCAGTTCATCCTCTTAGTGCAACTGCAAAGGTGTGGACCTGCCTATGGATTTGTCTCCATCACTATCCTATGTAGAAAAGCTACTAAAACCAAATGAGGACTTGCAAACAACACAGATTCTGAAGTGATCAATGTTCCAGTGACTGGATAACTTTTATAAGTCTTAATATCATTTCTGTAGTATTTCAAAACAAAAGACATTCTCTTGATAGAGCTGAGGAAAAACTTCACAGTCTTGCCCAAGCCTTTTCTTTGTTTTTTTCTTTCTTGCCCCATGTGACGACAGCAAATCCAGATAAACAAGTATTTGGTGTTGAAGAAAAATAAATCAAAATGCATTTTAATCACTCAAAGTATTTTTGTTGGGGGGTGGTGAGGGAGGTCAAAGTCAATATTTGCTGGAATTGTTTTAAATAATTGATGTGAATACACCTTATTATTAGTTTTCTCACCTCTGCAGAATAAACACTTCTGATGGTGTATTGTACTCAGAGCTTTTATTTCCTCTCTCGCACTTTCTGAGCACTTTCTGCTCTTCAATGAC